CACCTTAGACCTAGTGAAGCAGAATCTCTGTTGACGGGTCCCAGTAATCTGTAGTTTAACAAGTTCTCCAGGTGATTCTAATATGTGCTAAAGTTTGAGAACTACTATATTAAAGAAACCCCAGTCCTGGCCAACAACAAAAAAACCTGATTATTTAACCCAAGACAACTCTAAGGCACAAAAAATGGCATAAGATGAAGTAGACTGGTAAAGATGTTCATCCCCCTTAAAGTGCACCCATTCAAGATATGTCTCCAAGGGAGACCTTTTCAGAGAACAAAAAGAGGCTGGCTGACCAGAGAACCCCTGCCAGGGCAGAGAGTCTTTGTCTAACAGGTTAGGATATAAGCTTCGAGTCAGAAACCACTGTGTACTGTTTCCTATTTTCTCCCTTTTTGAAATGGTAGTTTTCATTATATTTCTTTGGTTATTTCTCCACAACTGCATATTGGCTATGTTGGGGTAAAGGGTAGTTTGTAACTTAATTACAAATGATGAGACCACTAGGATGATAGATCTGAAAATGGCTTCATACCAACTGGAGATCCTAAATTTAATACTAAATGCAGTAACTGGATAAGACTTTAGGTTCTTTCTCCTCTGAGGACATGAATTCACTACATGTAGGTGTGGGCATTTTTGAAAGCAGATCTGTGGGAAGAATGGTGTCCATGGATGCTTACTACCTAAAGGAAGAAGCTATACTAAACATTTCTGATTAGTTCATGGCATTCACTCCACACATCACTGATTTTATTAGTAATCCATTTGGTTTTAGGGAGATATATCCTAGAGTTCAGGGATGGAACACATGCCTTGGCTAAGCCAATCAGTGCATTTTATCCATGAGACTTCAATGATTAGTCCAGGTAAGCCAATTCAGAATGCATCACAGGACATAGATTGTCTTTCTCTAGACTAGAACTGCTATAGCCTGGAACTGCTGGTCCAATTTTGCTACTGTGAAGAAAGGAAGCCTGAGAATGAAAATGACATACAGAGGAGGGACAATGCTAAAGAATCATAGACTGAGCCTGAAGACCAATCAAACTGTGCATGAAGCCCATCTAACCTCTGGATTATTTTAGTTACATGAATCAGTGGTGCTTGGTAACTGTTTAAACCTGTTTAAAATGGTCTTCCTATTACAAACAGGAAAGCATTCTGTCAGAAAAGGCAAATAAAAACTATCAGCATTAATTTGCATATGCCAGTAGATGTGAGTGCAAGCTGGAATAAAAACATGATTGTTCATGTCATTTTTGTATTGTTGATTATGTTACCCTCTTTTTTCCCACAGCTTCAATTTATAGTTGATTCTCCCTTATTTTCCCTCACTAAAAATAAACTGGCCTCTCTCAAGGGGATCCTTTAACAAATTTGATCATCTTCACATATATTTCACATTCTACTAATCATAAAAATTTGCCTGGAAGAAATAATGGGTTTTCAGGGACACGTAAGTTTTCATTAAATTAGGTTGAGGTTTGAAGGTTTGAATTAATTACACCTCCTTCCCTTATAGACTCAGAATCAACTAAAAAATATACACAGCAATAAAAGAGGGATTAAAATACCAGTTTTAATATATTGTTAAGTGAAAAAGCAAAATTCAGAACAGCATGTACAGATGCCACCATTTGTCTTAAAAAACCGATACACATACATATATAATATGCTTGTAAATACATGGATTATCTCTGGAAGGATAGATACCTAGTAACTGCTAACAGTGGTTTCCTCTGGAAAGTAGGACTGGGAGACTGAGGTCAGGAGTAGGAAGGAAGAAAGGATACTTACTTTTTACTGTATACCCTTTTGTATTATTTGGATTTTACCAGAGGCATGTGTCTTTTTTTCAAAAACAATTTATATATTAAAATTTTTAAAAGAATAAAAACAGATACCAGCTTTATTGCAGATAGATCTGGACTGGAGTACATGGTTTGGATTTCAGCCTGAAACGAGCTTCTACCCCAAGTCTAAAGACAACGAGATCTCACTCCAGAGGGAGAGAGGAGTCTATAGAGTGACATTTACCCAGCCACGTAGTGAAGGACTGCAGTCTTTCCCATACCTTACCATAAGGAATTAGCTCAAGAGCCAAGAGGGGCCTACGCTGCTTCTCCGTAATAACCATTTCCCCAATTTCACCAAGTTATTCCTCCTCCCATATGGAAGACTGAATGGGTGGCAAGTGGAGATGGGTAGAAATTTTCTTCCAAATATTTTTGAGAAGTTCAAGTCCTTTTTTTTTGGTCAGGATCATGGAGAAAGGCAGAGGATAGATCCCATCATACTCTTGGATCTTTATTCTCTTAAGCCACAGTGGTCAACACCCAAGACTATGGTTAACAAAGAGGGCTTGGCTGTCCCCTTTGGGGGAGACCAGCAATATCTTAGGAATGTCTTGATCATCTCTGTGTAAGACTGGTGAGTAGTTCTGCTTTTGCCCCTAGAAACCTCTGAAATAAGTTAGAAAAGAAGAGTAATTACATTAACTCCAAGGTTACATTACACTCTAGGCTGAAAATTCACTAGGTTAGTCTCGATTTACAATTATGTCCAGCCATATTATCTGGAATTAGCTTACAAAGATTATATAATGAGCCCCAAAGATAGCAATATAAGACTTCAAATAGTACAATGTCAACAACAATATAAAAATGCCTTAATTTGAACTATATGTAATCCATACCAACTATTAAACTCCAAGGGAGAAATAAATGCCCCAAATTAAATTTCTATTTAAAAGTCCAAAGGAATTAAAGTCCAAAATTCTGCCTTTCTCAATTTCTTGTTTTTCTCATTTCAGCCATACAGATCTCATAAAGATGTCTGGACAGATATAGGGTTCCTTCAGCAGCTGCAGCCTGGGCTGTCTTCCCCATGATTGGGTATACTTTCTTCAGGTCTTCAAGGGCTGAATTAATCTAACCCTACAACTGCATGTCATACATTTTTAAGAGTCCACAGGGTTAATAGGACATAAGACTATCACAGTATCAGCCTCACATCCAAAATATTAGAAAGCATAGTAATCTCCAGTCACTAGAACAGATATTCCAAGCAAATTTATGTCCCCAGGACTTAGTACATTGGGTAGTACAGATGCACATTGCTGTTGTCAGTAAAATATCTGAGCAGAGACTTAGGGGCATCAAAGATAAGAGAAGTAGACAGAGAAAACATAAGAGAAAAGAGAATATCTTTTTGGTTTCATCCTCAGTGGGCTGCCCGTCTGTCTGTGCTGGTAGTCTGGACTTTATGGCCTGTGAACCTAAACTAACTTGGAAGATATTTCCCAAGTGCTTGATTGTAAATGCCATAAGTCACAACCCCAAATTTTCAGAAGTCCAAGGCCTGTTACTGCTAATGTAGTTTCTATCAGAAGCTCAATGAGAAAGCATTGGCTTTGGCTAGGTGCTTCTCTCCAAAACCTTGCTTACTTTTCAATCTTGCTTTCCTAGGCTTTGGCTAACCTTCACTAAATCCTTCAATAATGGAAGGTACAAGGCCTGTTCCATTATTTATTTTTCTGCTACAGTAGGGCTCACCCTTATCTGCACAGGAGTTTCTTAGGGCCAGCCATCAAAGAAGGTAAAGTTGAAACACAACACTAACAAATATCTATTAAATTTCTATCTACCAATGCCAGCACTTAAAACATCATTAAGCCTATTGATCATCCAGCACTGATTCTAATCTATGTGTTCCACAGTCTTGCTAGGACACCATAATAGATGAGCCCACCAGTTCCTACATGGGAGCAAAGCCTATTTTCAGCCTCCCTTAGTTCTAGCAAATGCCTTGCACACCTCATATGCTGGAACTTGGAAGTCCCCTAGGAATCAAATCTAAAACCTAATCTAAAATTTCTCAGAGTCTCTCTTGGTATAGGAAAGAAATTTGTATCTCAGTCTGATTCCAAATTTTTGCTCTTTCACTTTGAGGTCTTGGACAGATCTACGAATCCTTGCTAAACCCAGCCTTTACCCTGTGACTGAGGACTCTACTTAGAACCTGGCTTAATGCTCCATTGGGCTGGCAAAGCCCATGTGTGCTAAAGTCTGTCTGCACAGCCTGCGTCTGTAAAAAACCACTCCATGTCTGCAGGCACCAGACAGAGCCATTGCAGACAACAGAAACCCTAAATGCCACTGACGACCAATCTTAATTTCTCCACTTCTAGTTTGGTTCCCAAATGCTTGCCCTCTTATCAATTTTGTAAAGTTTCTCAGCCTATGCTCATGTATTAAAATGCAAAGTAATTACCCTCTTGATTTTGAACCAAGTTGAGCAATAGGTTCAAGAATCAGAAAGGGGGCAAAATGTTAGCCTTACTTTTAGTACAGTTAGAACTGAAAACGCAATTTGGACAGGAAACCAAAATAGGCTTCCCACTCCTCCTCAAACCAGACTTTTAAAGCTACCTGAGGGGCCCGCCTGGTGGTGCAGCAGTTAAGTGTGCACGTTCCGCTTTGGTGGCTTGGGGTCCACCGGTTCGGATCCCGGGTGTGGACATGACACCACTCATCAAGCCATGCTGTGGCAGGCATCCCACATATAAAGTAGAGGAAGATGGGCACGGATGTTAGCTCAGGGCCAGTCTTCCTCAGCAAAAAGAGGAGGATTGGCAGATGTTAGCTCAGGGCTGAGCTTTCTCAAAAAAAAAAAAAAAACATACCTGAGGGGAGAGTTGAAGTTGCAAAGACACACAGCTAGTCACACTGAATATCTCAGGAAGCTTGACACTTCATTAAGTGCAGACAGTCCAATCGCCCAAAAGAATGAAGCAAGAAGTGTTTAGCTATCTTTAACCTATTAACACCACCAAAGATAAAAATATGGGCCAGTAGATGTCAGACTTTACTCTTTTCACTAATTAGATCAATCAAACATTCTCTTGGGAGGAGGAACTAAGTAAAAGGTTTGGAGAGAAGGGCAAAAAGTTTCTTCCAAAAATGTCTGAGAGGGTAGAAGTTCCAACTGGTCGCCAGGCAAAAGCATGCAAAAAGGGAGAAGATGGTTCTTATAAATTGGTAAGCAATCAAGACTTTCTGCGTGCACAAATTTTACAAGTAGTCTCACATATGTGGCAATTTTCAAGATGATCTCTAAAATGTTTTTACCAAATCATAGACATAGATATGGAAATCATCATCAAATTTGATGAAGTACACAGAGGGCTTTGCTTCTACCTGATGAATAACCATGCCTGTTCTCTTGGAGCCATCGTCTTTGGCATATTCCACCTGTTTGCCTACTAAGCTGTCTATGACTTCTCCTGGCTCCCTCTCTGAGGGAAGAGAATCAGGGGAATCTGGAAGAATGTGTAGGTCACTGTCTTCATAATCATCTAAGAGCTGGTACATATATAATACAAGATCTTTCTCATAGGTAATGTAAAACCACGTGCTCATGATAGGTGCCTGAGCTAAGACCATTTCCCTCCATTCATTTTTGGAACCTTCCTCTGTCTCAAAAATATGTTCCACTGCTTTGCCAATCATAATTTCTGTTAAGTGTGTATCATTAATTCTAGATGATGCAACTTTACTAGGAAGGACTTCAAGTGAGGACACTCTTTCATCTCTGTGAAGTTCCAATCCATAAACAGTCAAATCCATCATATTTGATGAGATACAGAGAGGGATTTACAGGTACCTGATCCAAAACAGTTCCCTTCTACTGTGTCAGAGGTTCATCTCCATCCTTCCATCCATGCTGAATTCTGCAGCCCACGATGTTCCTCCGAGGCTGGGAGGTGGGTCTGCTCCTATGCTGCTTGTGGGCAACCTTTCTCTTCATCACGGTAACAGACACACTTGCATCACCTGTGCCTGTTTTGGACTGCTGCCCTGCATCTGCCTTTCCAAACGGGGTCTTCATGCCTGTGAGGAGCACAACAGCAAGGCGGGCCGAAAAACGAAATTAAGAAAAAAATTCAGTGCATGACACGGTGAGCTTTTTCTCCTACTTAGTGCACTCCGTGCCCCCGCGCCTGTTTTTCCCGAAAGCTACACAGGAAAGCTTGAAATCAGGGCCTCCTGGCTGCGTGCCTGCAGTAATCTTCTTCCCCAGCTCATTCCGCCTCAGCTAAAGCAAGGGAGGTGCGGTTAGAGTCAACGAAATAGGGCGAAGCCCCCTATTCCTACCGCCTGGCATCCAACACTGTCCAGGCCCAGGGGCACAGACTTCTCAAGGCCGAGAATCACAGGCCTCAAATCGGACACCTCGCTGCTGCCTCCGCTGTGAGCCTGTGGTGAAAGAGGATAAGCAGCCAAGGAGTTGGGTGCTTGTAAGACCTGGGAAGGCAGGATCCGTAGGCGAGGAGCGTGTGTTGGAGTGCGGCGGGGCAGGCGAAGAGGATGGTGTCTCCAGCGCTCGGCTCGCGGGCCCTCCACCTCCCTGTCGGCGGCAGCGGCCACTCCGCCACATTGGGCTCCCACCAGCCGCTGTCGCCACCGTGGCCATCTCCTCCCTCTTTCCGAGGGGCAGCTTCCCTCCAAGAAAGAGACCTCCCCTTCCTGCCAAACAGCGCGCGGCCCACCCTTTCCCCAATTCTCATGCCCACCACTGCCCTGGCCGGGAAGGCGCTCATTAGCTCCAGGTCCCGCCCCGCCCCTTTCCAAAATCAGCAGCAGCCGGCCCATAACCCTTCTGCCTAACTGCCTGGCTTCCCTTCCCGGTTCAGGGCTTCCAGGCTCCCCACCCTCACCCCCACCTCAGTGCCCCTGCCCCATCTGCTTTCCATCTTCTAGGACTTTGCTCTTCCCTTTCCCACGTGCCCTTCTGGAGTTATTCTTTATTTAGAGAACCCTCCCTTTCCCATCATTAAGGGGCTTTGAGGTAGGCGAGAGAAATGCGCTAGTGCTCAATCTGCCATCTTGACCCCATCTCTAGGTAATTTTTACCGACTGGTCATTCTTGGATTTTATTTCTTGAGGAGATTTTTTTCTTTTTCCTTTTTTCTCTTGTTCACCAATTGCAAATGAATTGTATGCACTATGTGGGCATGGCGTAAAATTCAGAAAATTTACGTGAAGAAGAAAATGATCAACTATAAACCCACCTCCTATTTCCAAGGGCTCGTAGCAAAATATTAACACTTTACATTCCATTTTTAATAAGCTCTTACAAAGTTGGGATAACTTTGCATATGCATTTTCATGGCATGCCCTTTTCCATACAGAATAAGCATTTGCTTAGGTTATTAGATACTATCTTAAACAGGTTTTATAGTAGTTTCATTAAAATCAGCATAAGAACATTTTCATAATTTAACCATTCCATCTGATCTTCAGATGTTTAGTTTTTTAAAAAAAAAGATTATAAATGATCCTTGCACACAAATTATTAGTCTGTTCTCTTGAACAGAATAATCTAGATAACAAACCTATAATCAAAACTTTTACTATAATTATAATAGGAATTTAGTATTTCAACACTAGATTTGTGAGATTATACATCTTTAATGACTCATTTTAGAAATGTTTCAACCATTCTTTCCATTACAGCTCTCCTAGTGGATGTAAAGTAGTATCTCCTTGTGGTTTCAATTTGCATTTCTCTAATGACTAATGATGAGCATCTTTTCATATGCTTGTTTGACATTTGTGTATCTTTGGAGAAATGTCTATTCAAGTTCTTTGTTTATTTTGAAATTGGTTTCGTTTCTTGTTGTTGTGTTGTAAGTGTTCTTTATAAATTCTGGATTTGAGACCCTTTATCAGATATGTGATTTAAAAATATTTTCTCCCTTTCTGAGGATTGTCTTTTCACTTTCTTGATAGCGTTTTTAATGCACAAAGTTTTTCATTTTGGTGAAATCCAATTACATATTTTTTATTTATTGCTGTTCTTTTGATGTCATTGCTAAGACGACATTATCAAATCCTCGGTCTTGAAGATGTACCCGGATGTATTCTTATAAATATTTAGTTTTAAGCTCTTATATTTATGTCTTTGATCTATTTTGAGCTAATTATTATATTTGGTGTGAGGAATAGGACCAAATTCATTATTTTACCCATGGATATCCCATTATCCCAGAACCATTTGTTGAAGAGACAGTTCTTAGCCAATTTAATTGTCTTGGCACCCTTGTTGAAAATCAATTGACCATAGATACATTGGTCTATTTCTGAACTCTCAATTCTATACCACTGATCTATATAGGTCTATCCTGTGCCAGGACCACACTTTTTTGATTACTGTAGCTGTGTAGTAAGTTTTGAAATCAGGAAGTGAGAGTTCTCCAAAAATGCTACTCTTCAAGATTGTTTTGGCAGATCACGGTCCCTTTCAATTCCATATGAATTTTAGGATTGACTTTTCCTTTTCTGAAAAAAGAATGGGCCATTGTGATTTTGATAAGATTTGTGTGCTGAATCTGTAGATAAATTTGAGGAGAATTGCCATTTCAACAATATTGTCTTCCAATCCGTGAACATAGGGTGTTTCATGAGCATGAGGTATCTTTCAATTTATGTAGGTCTTCTTTAAATTCTTTCAGCAACGTTTGTAGTTTTAGTTAAGTGTATTTCTAAATTATTTTGTAGTTTTTGTTTTTTAGACCGGCACCTGAGCTAACCTCTGTTGTTAATCTCTTTTTTTTTCTTTTCTTCTTCTTCTCCCCAAAGTGCCCCAATTGTAGTTGTGGTCCTTCTGGTTGTGTTATGTGGGACGCCACCTCAGCATGGCCTGATGAGCAGTGTCACGTCCGCATCCAGGATCCAAACTGGTGAAACCCCAGGCCACTGAAGCAGAGCGCACAAACTTAATCACTCTGCCATGGGGCCGGCCCTAGCTTTTGTATTTTTTGATGCTATCATAAATGGAATTGTTTTCTCAATTTCCTTTTTGAATTGTTCACTGACTGTGTATAGAAATACGATTGATTTTTGTGCATTGATATTGTTCCTGAAACTTGGCTGAATTCTTTTAATAGTTCTAATAGTTTTTCAAGGGTTCTTTAGGATCATCTGTATATAAGATTGCGTCATCTGCAAATAGAGATAGGTTTACATCTGTCTTTCTAATCTGAATGCCTTTCATTTATTTTTCTTGTCTAATTTCCCTGGCTAGAAACTACAGTATAATATTGAATAGAAATGGTGAGAGGAACTATTGTTCTCCTGTTAATCTTAGGGAAAGATTAAATATTTCACTATTGAATATGAAGTTAGCTCTGCATTTTTCACATATGTCTTTTATCTTGTTGAGGAAATCTTCTATTCCTAGTTTGTTGATTGCTTTTTATCATGAAAGGAGTTGGATTTTGTTAAATGCCTTTTCTTTGTCAATTGAAATGATCATGTGTTTTTAACAACTTTATTGAGATATCTTTGACATATAGAAATTATATGTATTTAAGGTGTACAACTTGATGTTAATATATATGTTTATATAAATATATATTCTCTTTGTCTTTTGATGTATGTATATACACACACACACATTGTGAAAAGATGACCACAATGAAGCTAAATAACTTATCCACATCTACATAGTTACCTGTGTGTATGGGGGGGGGTGCATGTGTTTTTTTTCTTCATACTATTAGATGTATTACAGTCATTGATTCTTTTTGGATTTTTTAACTGGAGTAAAATAGACATAACATAAAATTTACCATTTTAACCATTTTTAAGTGTACAGGTCAGTGGCATGAAGTGCTTTCACCTTGTTGTACAACCATCACCACACTCCATTTTCAGAAATTTTTCATTATCCCAAACAGGAAATATATACCCATGAAAAAATAATTTCCCATTACTCCCTCCCTCAGCCCCTGGTAAACTCTTTTCTCCTTTCTATCACTATGAATTTGCCTTTTCTTGATTCTGATTCCACTTCACATGAGTGGAATCATAAAATATTTGTTCTCTTCTGTCTTTTAATCTAGCATAATGTTTTCAAGGTTCATCCATGTTATAGTGTGTATCAGAATTTGATTCCTTTTTAAGTCTGTATAATATTCTATTGCACATGCCACATTTTGTTTGTCTATTCATCTTTTAGTAGACATTAGGGTTGTTTTCGACCTTTGGCTGTTGTGAATAATGATGTTATGAACATTAGTGTACAAGTATCTGTTCGAATTCCTGTTTTCAATTTTTTTGGGTATGTACTAAGAAGTAGAGTTGCTGGATCATATGGTAATTTATATTTAACATTTTGAGTAACTGCCAAACGTTTTTCCACAGTGGCTGCACCATTTTACACTCCCATTGACAATGCACAAAGATTCCAATTTCTCCATGTCTTTGTGCAGAGATGTTATTTTTGGTAAGAGCCATTCACTTGGGTATGAAATAGTATCTCATTGTGCTTTTCATTTACATTTTACTAATGATTAGTTATGCTGAATATCTTTTCATTTTCTTTTTTGTTTTCTCTGGAAGATTGGCTCTGAGCTAACATCTGTGCCAATCTTCCTTTTTTTTTCTTTCTTTCTCTCTGAAAAGCCCCAGTACATAGTTGTATATCCTAGTGGTAGGTCATTCTAGCTCCTATGTGTGGGATGCTGCCACAGCATGGCTTGATGAGTGATGCATAGGTCTGGGCCCAGGATCTGAACTGGTGAATCCCTGGCTGCTGAAGCAGAGCCTGCAAACTTAACCACTTGACAACAGGTCTGGCCCCCTCTTTTCATATTCTTATTGGCCATTTGTTCACATTCTTTGGAGAAATGTCTATGCAAGTCATTTGTCCAGTTTTTATTGGGTGGTTTGTTTTTCATTGTTGCATTGTAGGAATTCTTTCTATATTCTGGACATTAATCCTTTAGAAGATATATGATTTGCAAATATATTCTCCCATTTTGTGGGTCACCTTTTCGCTCTGTTGATAGTATCCTTTGATGCACAAGTTTTTTAATTTTGATG